TGTTCCTATGTTTCTGCATAATTTTCCTGATTGGTTGATAAATTGGATTGATTCCAATGTGCTTGTTTATTGCTGATTGACCTGGACGCCAAATGCCCCGGTACGGCCGAGAGTGTGGAGAGTCCTCTCTCCCTCTCGAAATGCTCTCACATGGCCAGCGAATATATAGCCTCTGACAGGGAAGTCCTACTCACTGCCTTCTCGTGGCGGGGGTGTTGTTTACGAAATTGAGAGGACGAAAAGCGAATATCCGGCGCTTTAACCGTGTTGGTGGATGTGGAGGATCCACCTAGGGGAGTTGGAAAACCCTGATTCCAAATCAATGGTGCACATGGGCTCCAGTATCCTGAAGGAACAAATGGCGTATGAACAAACCGTTGGTCACTGGCTACCATGGGACTGCATCTCCTCACGGTGCTCCACTGCCTTGTGGATCAGATCTTTCGGTCAAAGGCTCCGGGTGTGGGCCCCTAAGAAAACCGCCTGCTTCGGTTTGGGCACCTGGGCAGTATCAGAGCCCTCACACAAATCGAATGAGATTTGTATGGCGCATATGTATTTGGTGTTTCCTCGTACCAATATTTATGTGTTTAAATAAATAAAAATAAATGAACGCCAAGCTTCCTAAAATTCTCTGGTGTTCTTGGAATTGGTTCTGTCCAAAATCTCCACATTTTTCCAGTCGAATATATGTCCGTAGTTGTCCACGTGAATTGATATGAGTGAAGACATATCGTGGTGTTTGACTACTAATTAGCTACGAATCTCCACCATCTCAAAATGAGTTATAATTCATTTAATATTCATTATATTCATTTACATCAATTGATTTATTCATAAGTAATTACTAAACAAAATACCGTAAACCGCTACTAATCTACACCCTTTCTTTTTTAACAGAAATCTATTCACATATAATTTATTTGTAATTGTTATCATTAACTTGCTTTGAACAATCTCTTTTTTTTAAAAAAACAGGAAAACTATTCTTCTTTTCAAATGTTCTATTAATGTAACATCAATGTAATCATAGATTGGATCTTGTAAAAGAATAGTATAATAATAATAATGTGCAGAAAATAAAAAAAGGAATATAAATTCTCTATAGAATGCAAAAGTTAGCAACTACTAAAGTTTTCAATTTTATTCAAAGTTTGAAATTTATTAGTTCATATAAACTCAAGGAAAATAAAGAAAAATAAAATGGTTGGTTGTATGCTCAGTAGGTTGGTTAGTTAGTTGATTGTCAAAAATGTCATAACTGACTATCATGATCACTAATAATGTTTGCTTGTTTGTTTTCTCTTTAAATAATATTAATTATAATAGATAAAGTTATAAAAGACTAAACAAGGGGTGAGGGAAAGATGAAAAAAAGAGAGTGCGCGTGAAAACTTAAATATGAAATGTAAAATAAAAACAGAAACAATTTATCAGATTGCAAAATTGTCCTAGAAATAGAATATAACGAGAGAAATAAATGTTATTATTGTTATTACAAGTATTTTAATAAATCTCTATTGTTTAAGAGTGAGATTTTTAAAAAAAGGAAAGCAATACTATTCTGGTAAACATTTATTATTAACCTTTTAGGTATAGCTTTTATTTTAATGACTATAACAATTATTATTATTACTAATGAAATGCCCGATAGATTTTATTTTGTCTCTATTTAAAATATCCGTTAGAATTATTCGCCTACCTCTTTATTACTTCTCCAAAAAAATCTTTGATTCATATTGGAATCATTAAATAATCACATAAAAGAAACTCATGTATTATCATAACATTCAAAGTATTCATATAACGAATAACAAAAATAGTAATAATCGAAATACTTGCAAACACTTGTATTAGCACTGTTACAGCTGAAGTAAAAAATGGAAGTTGAAAATTCATCCAAAATGTCTTTATTTAGAAGTGCGATAAATATTCAAAAGAAATTTGAATATAAAGGATAGTGTAAAGCGTACAATCAGATACTAGATGAATTGTTAAGTGGATCAGCCTTTTTGTCTATGAATGAATATGTTCATTTTTTCAAGTACTTAAATATATAAGTATTATGTATCCTACACAAACGCATGTATTTATGAAAATTTTTTCTAAAAAATACTAGGATCAGTGTGTTGTTTTTATTTAAAATAAAACAAGACACTAATGTCAATAATTTGAAGTACTTAAAGTAATATCAAATATTTATAGTATCACTTGAGTTATTTCTAGCTTTCTTGAATCCAGTGAAACTTGACAAAAGAGCAAATGCGCAAAACAATCAGCACACAAAGATAAGTGTTATTCGGATGTTTTATTTTACTCGTTAGATCGGACTACCTAATTCCTTCTTGATATTATGGCTTGGTTGACAATAATGCTGTTTATGAAGTTATACAGTCATAACTAACGTCATAGTTAAGCATCACCGTACATTGGAATTTCAATAAATCTTAAAATGTTAAACGTTTGATTTCATTCAACTTGTCTTGACTTAAAGTGAAAACCCACTGAATCATTTTTAAAAAATATTGACGCTTATGATTATGAATACAAAGAAAATGTCCTATCTGATGTGCGGAATAATAGATTTTCATGAATTTATGTGTATTATAGAATGACTGACTTTATTGCGTGGAAGACACAGTTAATGAAGTTGAGTATGACTGTTAATTTGGTAATTTAAGTGAAAGTATCTTTTTGAATACAAATAATACTACTCACTGAAATGTTAAAATCAATAAGAAAGCACAGCATGGGATGAATCATCAATATTTTCCAAGGGTACTCACAAAAAACCCTCAAACATAAACAGTAAACAAAACATTCAATTAGTTATATTTACGTTGTGGTAGTCTTTTAATATCAAATTTAATAGTGAAAACTTATATTAAATAGGCTTAATACATGTCAAAGACAATCACTCCACCATGATTTGTCATCAACTGTTGACCAATGTTATGTTTGCCTAATAGTTAGTGGCAACGTCTAAGGTGGCTGATGTCAGTTCGAATCCCATAAAAGGTATCGGTTCTGTTAGGATTCAAGGTACGCTTTCAAAGTGAATCCTACCCAGTGCGAAGGCTAGGTTTAGTGTTTTCTATAGATTACTTCCAACTATCTAAAGAATTAAACTGTTAGTATTTGTTTCATAAAACGAAAATAATCATATTTTGCCATATGCTCTAACCTTTATAATTTTATTGCTACTAATTTAAAATGAAATCACTGTTATTATAATTAAAATGTTCAAAAAGATTCTCTGATCTACGATCATTATTGATGTGATACTTCTTTATCACGTGTAAGTATTACAGCGAATTGTTGTTTCTCTATTTAAAGTTTTTTAAATTTACATAACTAAACTATGTACTATCAGAAGTAGTTTTGTGGAGATTTAGTATTTTCATAGTTGAAAGCGTGAGTCAATTGAAGCTAGACCACCATGAAAAACCTGGAAGCACTGGGTTCGCATCTCGCGAGTGCGGGATCGTGAATGTACACTGCTGAGGAGTCCCATAATAGGACGAAACGGCCGTCCAGAGCTTCCAGGTTTTTCATGGTGGTCTAGCTTCAATTAACTCACGCTTTAAACTATGTACGCTGTAAACTATGTTATCACTAGAAAATTTAAAACTTTCTTTATTAGATACAATTAAACTGGAAGTTGCTAACGAATTTGTAAAATTAGAAAAGAAAGCACAAGTATACTCGTATATTTTTTAATTGAAATAATTACAATCATTATTATTATTTTCGGACAAGTTTAATTATGCCAAAAGTTTGGGTTTTTTATTTTTTGCTTCTCTCTAATTTTACATATCAGTGATATTTAATTTTTTCTTTTACGTTCCAATTTATTTTTTCATTAAAACATAAATATATTAGTGAGTCAAAACGTTAATTAATGAATATATATTTAAGTACATTTCTATGATTGCTTATTATTCATCAAATATATTCCAACCTTTTTAAGTTTAACGGTATTTATTTTAAACTCTCCACCTTCATAAACACCTTTTATTCAGATAACCTACCTTTTTAACATTGTTTTGAAATTATTTCAAGAAATTTATTTGACTTTCCAACACATTAGATAATAGTCATTATATCAGAGTGCATTTTATAAAATTATATATGAAGTTATATAATTAAAGAAATTATAAATGGGTATGCGGATTTCGAAATCGTCTTTGTAGTAGACTGTTTCGAGCTAGACCTGAAGGTCCTTGGTTTGATCTCTAGTAGGATTATGGAAATCTCAAAATACGAAAAATTATCTGTTTAGTTTTATATTCTATTCAGTGGTTCTTTAGTTGAATTTATTATGTGATGAACATTATTTTAAATGTGAACTAATTTCTACAATCATCCAACCAGTATACATATGTGTACAAATTATCTTTTCTATTAGACGGTGTCCTGTAATAATAAAAGTTTTCTTTTGTGACATGCACATCAAACACTAATTTTAGTGATTTTCACACTATAGGTTGAACTAGTTACCAAACTTCGATTCATTATTAAATAAATGAAAGTTACCAGCAGATACTAGTAAATCTAGGTTTCTTCAGTCATGAAGGAATTAATAGTTACCGTAGGATTTAATCTCACGCTACTTCTGTAATCCAAATATTTGAACAAGATTACACACCGGACAAAAATAACGTTCTCATTTTAACTGTTAACGAAATGTTTCTAGCCACATTTTTATTTCAGTTCTAACGCATTTGGCCATCAAAGGATATATGTATTATTATTTTGAATCTCAATATAATTTAACAATAACTTGCATAAAAATTTAAACAATGATATCTACATCATTTAGAATCAATCCCTTGAAAGTATCTGCACCTTAACGATTTGTAAATTGTTCACCTGCACCCTGTTTTGCAAAAATAATTCAAACTATCACATTCTGTTTGACTTTGTTTTAATATATAGCTACACTAGGGTTTAACATTTAAAAAAGTCAAAATGAATCTAGATGCTAACATTTAACATACTCTAATATCTTCCGGTTTAAGTTCCGTAGCATTGCTCCCTACTATATTACCGTTTTTGTCCTGATTTGAAAGAAATCCATGGTGAAATGATTTTTGGCAATTATTGTAACTCATGGATTGGTGAATACAATTATTAATATAATTATTAGCCCTAGTAGTATTACTGTCCACATTGTTACTTTTGTTCAATTCAATATGAATATTTCCAAACATTTTATGAAGTCCGGAAGCAATGAAAACCTTGTCCTTACGAAATAATTCGTTCACAGATTTTATTTCACGACCAGTTAATGAATACAAATTTCTAATAGGATCATTATGCCAGCGTGAACCAAATGCTTCAGTTAGTTCGCACATTACTTGACCTAATGTGTGCACCGATCTTCGAGCCATCATAACCTTCAGCGTACAAAAAAAAACATTTGAAAATAAATAGCAGTAATTACGACATTATACGATTTCTTTAATAATTAAATACAGAAATATAATAAATTATACTGTTTACACAATTCATTCAATACTGATAATAGAACCCAGCAAGAAATAAGTGTACATACAAAAGAATATAAAAACTATAACTGTTCGATAATTCTGAATTTTAATGAATTATTTACGATGGTTCTTACAAACAAAATCACATGGCCTTAAAAATTTAAACTACTGTATTTACTTACTGTTGTAATGGCAAGAAGAAGTATATATATATATATACATATATATATATATATATATATATATATATATATATATATAGTGCTCGGCTTGTGCACACGCCTTATCATTCAAAAAGCTCTAACAATACTTCATTTACGATGACCCTAGTTACCTCTATATTATTGTATTTTCGTCAACGTTTAATTTTATAGTGTCCCGTTTATTGCTTATTGTCCAATTTCATCTATATGTCTCACGTTATTTTCAGCTTTTTACTTCCAAATACGTTACGCTAATATTTATTTCGTTCACTCTTTGATCCCCTTTAATGAATCCTTATTATCATTTATAGTGACTTTCAGGTACACTTTTTGAGCAATGAAATTAAGATCTCTCACCTAGTAGTTGTGTTTTTGACACTTAGTTTTTCATACATTGCATGATTTTCAATTAACTTAACAGTTCATTTACTGATTATTAATATACTTTATTCATTACTGCAGAGTTCACCTTCACTAATTATATGTATGTATACTGATATACATCCGGGATACCTTTCATTTTTGTTATCTTCCATTTTCTAAAGCTTCTCACTACTGGAGGAATGTTAACATGATACAAGTCAAGGTGCAAACAATTATTTCTAGCTAATATATCATTTTGTTTAATAAATTGCATGATAGATGCTTTTTTCTGAGTTGTGTTTTTGAATATTTAGTCACAATACATTCACTTTAGAAGAATTATTGTACAACACTTTATATCAAATATCTTTGGACTTACAGTCAAACTTGTACGTCCTTTCCCACCAGGATTACAGCGTACTACAGTTATTTTACGTCCGCCGTATTTTTGATTGTCACTTGGTAAAAGACGTAGTATTTTTGTTATTTTTATTGTGTTTTTATTATTCAACGTTTTATTAGTATTGCAATCACTGTCAATTAATTGCCCATTATTAACAGCAACACGAAAGACACTATTAACATCTAATTTATTTGTGACACTACTGAAATCCTTGGCATTTAAATTATGTTTTACAGATGGGATGATTTTCAGGTTTGTGCAAATATTATCACGTTGGTTAGTTCCAGGTAATATAATTTTCGAGATACGATTTGATTTTGCTAATTCCTTCACTTTAGGCCTCTTAAGTAACGGGTTAATTTTAGATAAATCATTCATTTGTACGTTTAAACCTAAAATAGACATTAAAAAATGCATTGGCAAAACTCAATGCTTTTGACTAACTTAATGAACCATAAATAGTTTAAAAACGCATAACATTTTATATCATAACAATTGATCAAGAAATATATATATAGCGTTTACGAAGATGTGTTCGCCTTAGTTTGATACCTCCTAGGGAGGTGAATAGATGCTTTCTCCAACTTCAGGAGTTTTTGGTGATTTCTGTCCATGACACGACACGATATCGTAATCATAGTATGAAGGTATAGTGTCAATCATGATATTTTGGCCGTTAAATCAAAACTCCGTGGATTACATTTCTAACTTCAACTAATTCGTGATACAACATAAACATCGTCTGGTGCCGTAGGGAATTACCTTCTTTACTCTCATCCTAATGGTACTGAATTCTTTCCAGTATTTGTTTGTGGATGTGCAAAACCGAGAAATCCTAAATGGAAATGTGAGAGGTAACTACTGCTCTCCACTGTTCAACAGTTCTCCACAAAATGTCAGTCGAATAGAAACTGGCTGATTTTCTGGGCGAAGATTTGATTGGGTTTTTAATAAACTCAAACAAATATATATTTCGAGATCAAAAACATTCCTTGATAGTTTTATTTTATATAAAGTATTATGTCATAACTTGATCGCTCATCATTGAAAAGACCTTCTGACTTTTCAATTTTCAAAAACTAACTCAATTTGTACACATAACATTTGAAAAAATCCCCTTGACTTTTAAAGCTAATTTTCTTGCAATACCATTTTTGTAACACATATTTATACAACTTGATAATAACATTCAAAAGGACTCGAAGAAGTACATATAAACTACTTTATTTGTGAATATTGTCAAGTAGTAGATTCCACGAAGCTGGGTTCACCTTATATAAAACTCACCAAATGGATATGAGTATATCTTTGTATTGATGTTCATATTGAGATTCAGATTCAGAGCTTACTGCTTCAAATGTCAAATATTCATCCATCAAGATATGGTGTACATTCTCCTGCTGTTTAGATTATGAACTTCAGCCAATTAATCTCTCTCAACATATCTACACCCTGAAAGGATGTTTCGATATTATCAGAAAATAGGTTCTAGTAAATTTAAGATAAAACCGGACTAGCACCCTAAATTGCAATGGTCTCCATAATGCAACTTTACTCTAAAACCTATTTTCATAGGTAATGGCGAGGAATCCTCTTGCGTTACACCTTTGTCAACAGAAAATGATCAAAATTCAGTCGCTGATACCGGCAGCGGAATAATACGGACCCTTGTTAGTGAAAATAGGTGGATAAAGTAAGATTTCAAAAGACCGATTTTAGTGTCAATAAATGTAATAAAAAGAGAATACTTTTAGAAGTTATTGTAACATGTATAATTAAAAAACTTAACTAAACACCATCTGGTTGTAAACAAACTATACACCGAACCTAAAAAGATAATTACTTGATGCTCATACACTTCTGGTAAACAAGAAAAACAAAGTGAGTCATAAACATAATTATCAACAACAAGAAATTCTAAAAAGTAGAACAATGAACGTATGCGAATTAGCTGAAAGGGAGTGAAACACGATTTGAAAACCATACATTTATGTGTAAATATGCGATCATTATATGACTCAACCAGTACCTAATATAACAATATGAGGTACAGATCTTTTAACTTGGAGCATACGCTGATAAACACTACTATTTCATTTCTTCCCACGAGCTTCTTGTAACTTACGATAATGATGGCCTATTTTCGTATCAAGTGTTCATATTCTTTAGTTTCGATCAAGATGAAATATTATTTTAAAGGATAATATGATTGACACGGAGTAATTAAAACTAGTGATAGTGAGTAAGCATTGCTCGATAAATTACTAATTAAATGTCTGTCGACATGACAATAAAGGAGGCATTCAAAAAGAAAAGGTGATGCTGACGCAAAACATTTTTAGTAAAAAGATAACTACTCCTAGTAGGTATATAAACAACGTCTCAGTGTAACAGATCACAGGAAATCAGCTCATAATGGTAAACCGTTACAGTGGATGAGCGAAGAATGAAATGACAGTGCATGACATTCTAAATATTGTATCTTGCTTTCGGCATTATAAACTACATTCTTCTCAAAAATAGTCATTCATGCAATTTAAGACCATACTGATCGAAGTAAGTTGGCACATTAAGCGATACTGTTTTAGCTATCATTTTATTCACATAAATATACATTAACATTTTTCCATCAAATAAGATTGAAATTAGCTCTCTAGAAATAAAATTTAACTTTTTACCGTTATATAAAGAAACCGTGATGTTTTAGAAAGAAAAACACTATAAGAGTCCAGGTTTTGTATTAATTCTTTGCTTACAAACTAATATTTGCAAAATACAGTTCAAAGAACATATACTTAGACACCACAATCAATAAACTGCATTTAAATAACGAAATATGCGCCATGTATATTTATATATTTATTCGGTTTCATAGACGAAATAATTTTATACATAGAGTATCTAAAGCGAAACTAATGGTGAACATTTAAAGTGACACAGTTTCGAAGAACATAATATTATGTTGCTGACTTTAACGTAGTGAAGCAACGTGTAGACGGTATCAATGCACATACTATTTTTCTAAGACTTTTAAAATATGCAAATTACTAACCATATTTTAATGAGTATTTCTCATGCCATATCAACGCTGCTTCCAAGTTAAATTACTTTCCAACTTTGTGGCTATTCGATTTGGTCAATTTCTAAACATTTGGTTGCATATAATACACATTTATGCCTCAAATCTCGTCCATTCCGCTATTATATATGTAAAAATGACTCGTTATATCACTGAACTACATACCTATACCATTTGTCTTTTCATAGTGAACATTCATCAAACATTTTCGGAAATGCGTCGCTTTTACCCGATGGCATTATATTATGTAGCATTTTGAAAAAAGGATACAGCTTTTCGTATATATCAAGCACGACCGTTAGCTAATCCAATGATTAATGAGGAATTTATTCAACGTTACAGTGATAGACTTTCAGGAAAAAAAGAACCGACCCTTACCATTTATTCTTCCAAAGTGAAGGCAAGAATTGTTCAGTTTTTTAAAAGTTTCATTTCCAGCGCATACATACACCCCACCACTATTAAGCTGTGATATAGAATGTACAGTGTTTCCACCTCGTGGAGTTAAAACTCTTTTAATTTTTTGACTTTGTAGCAAAAATCGTGATAACTGGGAGTTCAAAAATTTTAAAAATCTCGTGAATTCTCCATGAATTTTTGGATCAACAAGTATCAACTTCCCGTGGAAAGAGTAATTCCCGTTTATTAAAAATATTATCCTTTTCACATCAGCTATCCTGAAACGTTTTGTATCACAGCTAATATCATGATGAAGGATATCATGACTTTCATACATAGGGTCTTTTAGATATGCAGATATCAGGCTCAATTGTTATCATTATTCATTATCGAAATAGATCTCCCAGGATCTAGAAAAGAATTTGTACTGTGAAAAAATATTTTGATTGACCTAAGGGCCTTTGATGTAGACAAACAAAAGTTTCTATATACATTATTGTACTACAGAAGGCGTAGAAATTGATAAACAGTTTGTTTTACATGTTTCCCATGAATTCTTTAAAAGAAATAACCTTATTATTTGAAGTCTTGGAATAATTTTCAATTACATTAAACATTGTTTCGACAAGCTCAATACCTAATGTTATCAGTCTTACTTAAAGTTATCCTAGTCTCACGCTATTACTGATTCTGATCGATTTCATCTACTAACAAATTTAAGTACACTTTGTGTGACTACTGCACTGTCTGCTCTTTTGTTCTACTCCTTCCTAACTTTGCTCATGTATGTTGTTTTGCAAGCTCTCTCGGTACCCAAAGTACCTTGAGGCTAGTAGTCAAGCTCTACATATGCTGCTAGAATGATGTTCCGGTCACTGAATATCGAACAGATCATCGACCCCTGTCAGATTCAAGGACAACAAACGCGCATCAGTTAATCGTACGCCATGAACTAGTCCATGCGGCAGTGGTTTTACTTTCGCTTGTATCTAATTTAACTAATATATTTCTGTAATAACTTCCTTTGTGTTGTACAGTCTTCAGAACATCCAGAGTCCCTTGATACGTGAATAGAGCGATCCACTAAGGTGCTGACCGCAATGTGTGAATTCGAAGTTAGTTGGTTCGTCAGACAATTCCCGTCGAAACATAACAGGCGCACAATCATTCGACAAGAATCATCATCGTTGATGATCGACGATACGATAAATAAAACAGAACCCATTCACAGTGTGGTGTCACTGAATAACTTCGCTTCCCCTACAGGATGTGAGAACTGAGCACTAATAAAAATGTTCTTCAATTTTATACTCAATAAAGATGACTTCGATAGACGGGTCTACTGGGATACATATACGTGTTAGTATAATGAAATGTAATTGGGGCCCAGCCAAATCATCAGATAGTCAGGTCATTGAACTTCGGACAGATTACCGATCCTCAGGGACAACAAGCTCGAACTAATCAATTGCACCTCATAGACTGGCACATATAAAAGTGGTCCAACTATGTTTCTTGAACCTGTTATTACCAAAACATGTCTGTAATATCGTCATTTTTATGTGGTTATTATAGAAGCCAGAGTACGTGGATACGACGGACAAGCAACGTATAATATTAGCTGCCACATGTGATCTCGACGTGAGCTGCATCAAACCGTACCCATCGAACTAGAGAAGGTTCCAAGTCGTCGACGGAGACAACCTACGTTGGTGACCTGCATGCGATTAGGCCAACGTTTGAAGGGATTTTCCCTTATTTTCAGTGCGTGACTATCGTATAGGACATAAGAGCTTTAACTTCTATTTATAATTACAATAAGGGACATTTTAGTCCCAGACGATCCAAAAAAATACGAAGACAGACTGTAAGGACAGGTAAATTCTTGAATGCAACGAGCTAAGAACTAACGTAAATTCACTACTTATTACGGCTTTTCTGTTACTACGTGACACTTTCCGGTCCAGGCATTCTTCAGCTTGTAGTGTAGTGCTTCGTTAATCGATCGTCTCGATAACCGTTATTACATCAATCTGAACGGTGTATAATATCATGAGACAAAGGGAAGTGGCAACTACATTTTTATTGACAAATAACATAGGCTAGAAGGCAGTAAGCACATGAGTAAATGTTAGCGAGCGAAGAAAAAATAACATACATGGGAGATGGCTGGCAAGCCAATTCGTTATAAGCAAGCATTATTCAACATTTATAGTCAGGCTAAAATGAATGACAGACATGTGATAGGTAGGATAAGAAGGGTGCATACAGATACGCTCATATAAAAAAATAGTCAAGGTCAATAAGTGAATAATTAACAAGATCAAAATATGACTCATAACGTTATAGGTGAATTGGCTTGTCCAGAAACTAGAATAAGCTATGTAGGTGTAATATAGTACACGACGTTACACTACTCCCCACAAGCTGGTCTTACAAATGCTTACTATTGGAATAACCTGGGTGAGGAAAACTATCTGCTCAGTTGTTCCTGGTTTATTTCTTTAATTTTAATTTCTTTATTTATAACAGTCACACCCGGACACGTATGGAAAGCGGGATTATCTTCAACAGAGATAGTCTTCAACTGAAGTGAACTAGGTCTACTAATTGAGATCTGTGGTTGTTAGTGTTAATAACTAAACTTTATTTTACTTGATGGAATATCGGTACATCCTTCAAGAAAACCGTCGATTGGATTGTCCACAGTTGTAACAGCTTCGGTTGATTATTAAAGAATTGACCTGAAACAACCAAGTATATGTCAAAACAATAGAGCTCAGGTATTCATTCGCCTCCTTATTTTGTATAGGCATTATATTTGCTATTATCTTATATTGAATGTTGAAAAGCTTTGTATGTCTGAGCAGGTAATCCCTCGCTCCATCGTGACTGGTTACGATCTAAATGAAGACCTAATCAGTGTTAGTTTTTATCTTTCATCAGTGGGACGAGGGTTACCTACAGGCGCGAAACAGTAACAATAAGAACAATCGTACACAACTACTGGAAGAAAGATGGTACGTTGGCTCTCTTTGCCAGACGGGATCCAAAACCGTTACAGCTAAAATCGCAGGTTGTGAGTTATACTTTCAATTTATATGACAGGTCAAGTGAGGCAGTTCTAAAGCAAAAATATATTATAGCTTTCTATTGCCTCATACAGTACTATTTGAAATCGAAGAATACAGACATGTCCCTACCTCGGTACAAACTTATTTCACCTAGGATAGTAAAGGAGATCCTCACCACGTCTTTGTGCACAATTCATCACGGCTTAGCTATAGAGTTATTGAGAGATAAATTTATGACAGGACAAACACCAATATAAAAATTCTCCCATACGTAACTGCTAAATTAAACTAGGCGGTGAGTATGTAGATGGGCTGCTATATACTCTGTATACATGGTTGTATGGTGCTGATGAGATTTTAAAGTAAATAAGTTTTCACAAACGCATATTTACCGTAACATATTGTATGGAACGTTATTTTCAATAAGCATGTAAGATGTGTCAACATAACACCGTGCAATTTCACACTTTCGGCGCATGCTTCAGCCTCGAACATCGTCTTCAAACTGATTTCTGTGGACTCTAACAACCCCGAAATAAAGTGAAGGATGAGTGGTTGTTCACAGTGACGTGAAATTAGTTACTGTTATAGACATCAACAGATAGAAGTAACATATCAGGAAATATACGTGCGACAACAGTGTTAGATATAGTGTTCAGTCACAGATTCATGTCCATAATGGCACAAATAGCCAGAGAGTTTTCTGCTAGTGGTTAAGTCATGGTTTTCCATCAACTGGTAATTTCACGCAAAATGAAAAATATGAGCTATTTTCAAGGCGTTCATGGGCAGTATACATAGGCTTTTCAGAAAATCATTATTTTAACCCGTTAAATGCTTATAGTATAGTAACTGATTTTAATAAAAACTCACTTCCTGATGCCATAATGACCCATATCAGCTCACTTTCACACTTGCATGCTATTGATTCTAAATAACCACGAGCTTAGCAGTATTACATGCTCCGTTTCCCAAGGTCAGACCGCTATTAAGTCAGAAACCTACCCACACAACGTCACACTCTTAAAGAGATTTCATCAGTGTACTCAATATGTGGAACCCTAAAGTCTGTCAGAAATTATATCGAACACGATTTTGATATTATGTCCGAGAAAATTAACATAGTAACTGATATATATATATTTTTCGCACCCCATATGCAAACCTAGCAACAATCTGGTGAATATATGTCATTTTTCAATGTTTCTGTAAACTTCGATACAGGCCGACTTGCACATCTTGACAATATGACGCTTGTATACAGAAAAAACGCTAATACATCTTTCATTGCTAGAATCATACGAATCAGTTAAAAGCCTTAAGTGTGCAACATGTTTAGAGCCTGATGACTTCTCCCCTCTCAAATTACCTGCAAAACGAGGTGAACATGTGTCACTTGTACTCCTTAAGATAATAATGGCGTTAGATACAAAAGTGTGTCTAGTAGCTGAAAAACTATTTTATTTACAGCTAAATATCAAACGAGGAGGTGGCAAAAGTTTTTAATGATGAATCTTCAAAATTATGTTCCAGTTAATCTATGTGTCAAGAAAAAATTGTAAGGACATCAACTCTGATCATGTATGAACTAAAAGTATTGCGTCTTACCGGCAACAGGCTTATCTTAAATGTAACTGATGAATGTGTAGTGTCGGTTGATATGTTACGCTTATATACCTTATTCTAGCTTCTGGACAAGCCAATTTATCTATCCATCTTCAGTCACATTTTGACCTTGTTAATTATTCACTTATCAGCTTTGACTGTTTTTATATGATTGTATGTGTGTACACTTTATATCCTATTCATCACATATCTGTCACTCATTTTTATCTCACTATAAATATTGATTAACGCTCGACAATGGTGAGTTGGTATGCCCACCATCTCCAATACGTGTAATTTTTGCTTCTTTCTCTTCTATTCGCTTCATTCCTGTGATTTCCTGTCCAGATCGATGAATGTAGAAAGTATATGTATTCGAAATCCGTTCTCGTATTTGACGTATCTAACTCCGTCATTCATCAACACGGATTAAGTCATTTGTTACATTCGACGATAGGCAGGATGTATATTTTGACAACAATCATTCATACGATTTAATTAGAATCAGATCATGGCCCGTATAAAATGGTGAGCCGCATTCAGAACACACACACTCACTTGTTTTCCCTGTGCACTTGTTATTTGAACGCTTGCGAATTTTCACCAAACTTCAACAATAAACTATCTCCATAACAGGTGTTCAGGCTTTTGAATAACC